TGGGAGTGGGAGAAGGGGAATAGAGGATTAGTGGGAAGGGGAGAGAGGAAAGGGGACGCCTGGACTGGGGAATGGCGGAAGATGAATTCAGTTCATGAACTCTAAAGCAGAGGAATTCTTATCTGGCTCAGATTAAAATCTAAACTGGATTTTGGATTGTAATACTGGCCTAGTATTTAAGGTGAACATTGGAAGTCCCTGTGGTTTATTTATCTCTTACATTTACATCCCAGCTTGCCTCCAAGGAGTTCAAGGTGGCATACATAGCTTTACCTCTTCCCATTTTCCCCTCACAACAACTGTGGGAGAGTGACTGGTCCAAGGCCACCCAGTGAGCTTCCTGGCTGAGTAGGGATTTGAGCCTTGGTCTCCCAGGTCTTTGTCCAACACTCTAACCACTGCAGCACACCAGCTCTCATTCATATTTCCAAGCCTGGAAATACTCTGTCATCATGCAATAGGGAGAAAAGGTGCATTGGCTGAAATTCCCTCTTCTACAGAGTGATGAACAGCGTAAGATCCCTGTCCTCTTTTGTATCCACTTTACCTGATTGAAAAGGACGCTGAGAGTGTAATTCAAATTCATAGCCTTCTATCTGTAAACTTTGGAGACTCCCCCATGGCTGCAGGATTTATGGTTTTGCAGTCATCCTCCCATCCCTGAATCCCACTGCTTTTGAAAGCAGCAGAATACAGTTAGATGATTGGGAGAAAAATGAAGCACTCCTTATAATTTGAATTGCTAAATACAAAGGACCATTTCACAGAAAATGTTGTGATGTGATTGTGTGCTCTACCGTGCAGTTGTACTGATTGTGCAATACTGTCAATAAGAACATTAGTACTCACAAAATATCCATTTGCTAATCTCAGCCGTTGTGCCTGAGACCTGCCTCCCCCACCATGCCTCCTGCCATATATCTTGATACCGTGTGCACATGAAATCCTTGCTAACAAATATATGGACTAGTGTTCTGCATCCGAAAGTCTGATTGACTTGATCATCACTAAGGTATCTTCAATAAGCCCTCATTTCAATATTTTGGCTCAAAACTATTTTTTGATTATACCACGATTCTTCAGAATATTCCATGTGTTCTATACATATGTTCCATATACTCCATACATGTGCCCCATCTCTATAGCTCAGTCAGCAGACAATGAGACTCTTAAACTGAGGATTGTGGGTTCAAGTCCCACAAAAAGATTCGTGCATTGCAGTAGTTGGAGATAACCCTCGTGGTTCCTTCCAACTCTATGATTCTATGTGGTTGGGATCACATAAAGTTCATCTGTGGCATGTATTGAGGGGGGAAATAATGCTGTCAATGTCACATATCTGAAAATAGGAATTCATACAGTCTGTAGCAAGGATCTGCAACATTGCCATAATCTGTGTGTGTGTGTGTGTGTGTGTGTGTGTGTGTGTGTTCCCTCCTCTTCGGTACTTGGAAGCTCAGCAACCTTTAGTAATCCATCTTCTTCTTTGGGTGCCAATGAGAAACCTCTTCATTTCATCTTTTTTCATTTCTGCATCAAGAGATAATTTTATATCTGTCTTTAGGTAGCTAAAAGACTATTCATAAACAATGGCAGGAAGTAATTTTCTAGAGGTTAGAAAGGTTCTAGGCAGTACTGGAGCTGGGAAGAGAAGGTGGGAGCAAATACCCGCCCTAAGATTTGCCTGTCCATCATCTGCCCAACCTGTCATTAGAATCTGTAAGCATAGTGAAGATGGGGCAAGTAGTATAGCCTGTCATCTTAGTCTCCCACTATAAGCACTATATCCCCCCCTAAAAAAAGAAACTCTCTTTATAAAGCCACCTCTGCATGAACATGTGCACATCACCATCCCTACAATGATGTATGCTAGTTGTTCCACTGTTATGAGGTGCCCATGAAGAAGCCAAGGAAATGGGAGCAGCCCTAAATGGAGGCCTTTGTTTATTTTTGAAACGGGCCTAGAGAGAACCTGCCAACATTCAGGATGTGTCTCACAAATCTACCATACTCCTTCTTGGCCCAGCTCATTATATTTTACCTGTAGACACCTGTCTTTTCTATCAAGGTGATTGCAACCCAACCCCAAAATGTGGTGACAGGTGGCTTCTATAAGGTAGATGGTGTGTAGGGGAAAGATCTATACTAACTTTAGCCCTAGTCTCTGCCCTGATTAGCAAATTGTAGACTGTGAGACTGAGCTGGAAACCCCCCTGCAAAAATGTGTGTGTGTGTGTGGGGGGGGTTCCTGTGATCTTCTTGTTGGATGTGGCAGTCGGAGGAAGAAGTTTCCCTAAAAGTTTTGGGATGAGGTTTCTGCTTATGTTACTGGATCTAATCACAAAGTGTAGTTGGCAGGAAGCTGTAGAGAGACCATTGAGTTGCTTCCTGCACCTTGATGTAGTGTTGACCCCCAGGGCATTCTCAGGAATTCAGCTGGTGGGAAGTTGTAGACAGGGGATTATTCCATGGCATGGAGCTTCTAATAAAAGAAAGCAAAGGAAAAATGGAAAACCCTTGGTTACCTCCTAAGGTTAAATAAGATAAGCGGCAACCCTTCCTGTAAATTTCCTAAGAAATCTGTCCCCCATGCCAGCCTTATTTTCCCCCAGGAAAAAAAATAGAAAGTTTGAAATGTTTTGGCATAGCTCTAGTAGGATGGATCCAAAATTTTAGTAAAGACAAATAACAAAGAATAAAATGTGGGTGTGTATGACGTTACTCAATGTGTGATAGAGATTCACCGTGCAACCGTATAAAGAGGGTGGGGGACAAACCAGCAGAGGATGACTTGTCATTTGAAGTGTTGAAGAATTGCCCATCCCTGCCACCTCTCTGTGATTGGGCAGAATGAAGAGAGCTTCTCTTCCTGGTGCTATCTGATTTACACATCCCCCATTTGCGAGATGCCTGCCAGGCCCTTTCCATAGAAAAATGGATTATTCTACAGTCAGATTAATGGGCTTTCATTTTGCAAAACATCTGTCACCGTTAGTCCTGGACAGTGAGCGTGAAATTAGTTTTGACTGCAGAAAGGCTACGTCGGTGTGTAATATGTGACTAACATTACAACGGCTCAGGAAGCGAGCTGGTGAATGAGAATTACCTGTTAAAAGGAGAAAGGGCTTTTCCTGCATACTCTGGGATGGGAGGGGCAATGCATGGAATCCGGAGGAGAGGCTTAAAATGGGAGGGGGGATACCCACCCATACAATGTTTCTGTGATTGCAATGTATCTCAGCTCCTTATTTGCTGCCATGGAATTAATGTAAGAGGTGAGAGGATGAAGGAAGTGCAGCCAAGATGCCTTTGTGGATGCAACAAAAGGGAATGTTATGCAAAAATATCCCTTGTGCAACAGTGTGTCTTAGCTTTGCAACACAACAAAGTATCACAAACACTCTGTAGCAGAGGTGGATAAGCTGTGGCCCTCCACATGTTGCTGGATTCTAGCTCCCTAGTTAGCAAGGCCTAATAATTTGATGTGAGCTGGAGTCCAGCAACCGCTCCTTTCAGTAGCTCTATTCAGCAGAGCTGCAACTTCCTATCTATAACATAGTCTGCTAAAGCTTCACTGATCAATTGACAGCATCCAATTTTAATGAGGGTGGGCAAAATTTGAATTTGTGGATCTGCAAGTTGTTTATTTTTGGTGGTTATTTTGGTTCTGGTATGTTACTGTTACAGGGAATGAAAATGAAACCTTGTTAACCTTCTAATTGTGAATGCTAGCCTTCTAATTATGAATGGTAGCTTTTGCTTAAGTTGAAAATCATCTCATACTTCCTTCACTTTGTCAAAAATACGCCCGTATTTAGGTTTGGTAATGTGAAAGTTTATTTACATTTAAGCAAGTATTTTTTTTAATTGTTAGACAAGGAGAATTCATTGAATATATTTGCCACCTGAACCCTGGGATCATCTTCCCTTGGTAACTTACAAATTGTCCTCTTACTGAGACTGGCAATATGTGATAGGACTCAATATTGATGAAGCATTGATGTAGTTTATCTTTTCATTTTAATGGGGCTATTTTAGATGTTGTAAAGTTATAAAGCTTTTGAGATGGGATGGAAGGAAAACACAACTAAACTCTGCCCTATTTAATGTGCTACGAATAGAGTTGGGCAGGCATTATTTCTGCAATAGCTGGCATTCTGGCAACCGGGCAGTCTCTGAAGGCCCATGACACTGCAACCTTATGAGAACCAAACAGGTATAGGTCTGGCCAATGCAGGATGAAATGGAAGATTATCTGGGAATCCTATGAATACCACCTTGAATTGCATCATAGAAGGAAAGTGGGGCTGTAAATGTAATATCCTGTTCTTGAGTTATATTTTCAGATTTAAGTTATTGGATCAAGGGGGAGGTTTGCTTAAAACAACCAACTAGGATGCATAAGAAATTCAATTCATTTCACTCTTAAATGCAAACCGAGTCAATTGGCACTTTTCTTAGACAATTGACAAACCAAAACACAGTCTTCCACAGTGTGCGCGAAAATGCATATATTAGTGAAAATAGCATTAAAATGTTATATATTGGGGAAAACTTTACAAAACCGTGTATATTAGGCAACATTCCATGTAAAAATATACATATTAAGAAACATTCACACAAAAACGCTTTGAAAATTATCTTATAGGTATGTAAATGAAGACGACTGAATTTAAGATTAGAGGAATGAGAAACTGAAATTGACAGATTTGCCAACTCCTATAACTAACACTAGTTTGTATGATGTATTTGTATTGGAAGGGGTAAGGTCATCCATAAGTTATGTGTGTCGTGAAAGCCAGCCCTGAGGACCATTTTTGCTACTAGAAATAAATATTCAGTTAATTAATTCTTCCACTCAGATTAATTGAAACATGCTCATCTCTCGCCTGGTTTTGCTCCAAGCAACTCTGCCCACAGACGACAAAGAAACTTTCAGGTGGTTGTGATATTTTAGGAAGTAGGTTTCAGAGCTGAGTCTGTTTTCTTATGTCTTTCAGATGTACATTCAGACCACGACGTTGACCATCTCGGTGAGCCTAAGCGCCTCTGTCTCATTGGGTATGCTCTACATGCCCAAAGTCTACATCATCCTCTTCCACCCAGAGCAAAATGTGCCCAAACGAAAGCGCAGCCTCAAGGCAGTTGTGACAGCAGCCACAATGTCCAACAAATTTACTCAGAAAGGAGGCTTCCGCCCCAATGGAGAGGCCAAATCGGAACTGTGTGAAAATCTGGAAACACAAGGTAACCTTCTAAACTCACCTGAGTCCATGTTGCCTTGCTCCCTTTAAAACATCTTCCTCTAATTGTGAACTCAAGTAAAACAACCCTATAAGGGAGAGCAGTGTGCTCATATTGCAAAGGAGGGTGACAGAGCTCAAGAAAGCTGGCTAAATGAATTCATAGCTAAGGCATGGAGTTTCTGTGTTCTAGATTTGCAGCTCCATTTCTGAGCCATGTAACTGCACTACCAACACAATCATAACCTCTATAAGTTTTAAAGTATGGGAGGCCTATCATATGAAATTTCACATGTTCAGAATAAAGGACATCTGAAGGGTCTGTGGAAGACACACAAAATAAAGGAGGATCACTGGGGTGCACAGAAGTTAGATTGAAAGATACTGTATAGAGGTTTCTGAATCTCAATGGTTTAACAGTAGCAAAACAAAACAAAACAAAACAAAAAACCCTAGGTTGCTGAAGTCAAGAAAGTTGGGGGTGGGGGGGCTGAACAGGAGTAAAATTGTGTATGAAGACCAAGTATACGCACAGAGGCACCTTGTGCAATTCTGTGTCTACCTTCCTGGGCTCCTATTGTGTAGCTGATTCTTGTTGGCAGACCTCAGGGTTTTAGTGAAAAACAAAGTTGGTCCCACAAGCCTAAAATCTTCCAACCTGCTGATTTACAAAGTGGTTTAAAGAAACCTTGTTTGGCATGTTTCCCTGCTTATGCCGTGTGTAGCATGGCTTACAGGAGATCACATAAGGTGCCAGTGCACCTTGAGGTCAAAAACATGTTATGCCAAGCAAACATTTTTAAAAGCATACTTATCACTGCCACTTTCTCTTTTTTTGGGGGGGGAGTAGCCATATACATCTGGATCAGGACTCTGGCATGTGGGAAAGGGTGGTGAATGCAGGCTTCCTCAACCTCGACCCTCCAGATGTTTTTGGCCTACAACTCCCATGATCCCTACCTAGCAGGACCAGCGGTCAGGGATGATGGGAATTGTAGTCTCAAAACATCTGGAGGGCAGAGGTTGAGGAAGCCTGGGCTAATGTTTTCTGCCCTGTGCTGTTTAGCCAGTGAACATTGATAATACCCTGATTGCTATTTCCTCTGGCTGTGCTGTTTCCTGCAAATATCATCTTTGAGAGTAATTAAGCACTCTTGTGGATTTTCAGTGAGAAAACAGCATAGGAAGCAAACAGGTATGGGAAGGAAAGGGTTACAATGTTGCAGTCCTGATCAGGATCAGGCCCCTGCACAGCTGCTTTTCTTCCTATAAAAAGAAAGCGTCCAGTGCTATCCATACCTTAAAAAATGCAATGCATAGTTAGATATTAAATGCTTAAATATGTAAACGTGTACATTAAGATATGAATGCTCAGTGTAATGTGTAGCTTGACTCTTATAGTTTCAGTATATGTATGCAGCACGTTCTGCCAAACCTAGAACAAAGACAAGAGAAACTGGGCGTATTTCCCCCCTTTAGAAATATGTTTCCATGGCAACCCTCCCCTTTCTCCCTTGGGATGGGAACCCTTGTGAAATTCAGCAGTGCTTAGAAGAATAGCAAAACCAGCACAGCCTGATGTTCTGAAGTACCAATTACCTGGAACTCCTGTTGCTTTCAATGGAGGCTGCAGAGCTTATTGCCTTTGAAAATGTGTGTGTGTGTGTGTGTGTGTGTACACACATTCTTCAACTCTACCCTCTGAAATAGGCATGGGTGCAAATCCTGGAAAAAAACACAACACTCCAAATTGTGGGAAATCTGAATGTTATATTTGCACGCTTGGCTTCAGCTTACCGTAGCTGTGGAAAATTGGGCAGCAGTAATACAGTAATGAGGGACGTGGGTGGCGCTGTGGGTTAAACCACAGAGCCTAGGACTTGTGGATCAGAAGGTCGGCGGTTTGAATCCCCGTGACGGGGTGAGCTCCCGTTGCTCGGTCCCTGCTCCTGCCAACCTAGCAGTTCGAAAGCACATCATGTGCAAGTAGATAGATAGGGACCGCTTTGGCGGGAAGGTAAACGGTGTTTCTGTGTGCTGCTCTGGTTCACCAGAAGTGGCTTAGTCATGCTGGCCACATGACCCGGAAGCTGTCTGCGGACAAACGCCGGCTCCCTCAGCCTGTAGAGCGAGATGAGCGTGCAACCCCAGAGTCGGTCACGACTGGACCTAATGGTCAGAGGTCCCTTTACCTTTACCTTTTTAATACAGTAATGTCTTCTGTGATTGGGTTGCACTTGCAGAGAGGAACTTTTTATAGGGCACAGCTACATGCTGACTTCCCCCCTCCCCACCCATACTCCCAGAAAGCCCCCATATATTTGTTTTCCCATATGCTTACATTGGGGCTGGGGGGAGAAAGTTGCACTATCTGTTAATGAAGGGCAGGGAAACTCAAAGCAGAACTTCCGTTTTTGGCAGCAGTCCAAGTTCAGCTTTCTCCATAAATGGACACTTGAACCAGTAGCTAAATTGTAAGTAAAAGAACCAAGTTTTCTTGAGAGCAATTCAATACCCATGCTCCATTGTCAAGTGTCTCAATATGCTCTTCCATTTGAGCCCCTCTCTGAGTTAGCGACGGGGCACTTGCACTTAGAATTTAGCAAAGACAACTGAGCTCTTTTCCTCACAATTGGGAAAATAGTTTGGCTACTTGTGAGCTCAGTTTGGACTCTGTCACGCCTTGATGATGTCAATTGCAGCGCAGGTGGGTCTGATTCTTCCTTTAGCCTCCCTTTGAACTTCCACACTTTCTCCTTGCTTGCGTGCACACCTAGTGGTGCAATGGAGAAAGGGAGGTTTTTCTCCCCCACCTCATTCTCCCATCCCATTTCTGCCACTGCAAGAACAGCAGTCTAGGTAAGCAGAGTAAGCTGGAGTCAAGAGATTCAGTGATATTTCTACATTATTACATCTATGTGCTACTTCAATTCATGGTGGTTTTCAATATGACTTTCTTCATACATAAGTCCTGAACACTTGTGTCTTAATATGCTTGCAATGCCACCTAGAAAGGGTTAGCAGTTCTTCATTTCAAGGTGCAAGTTTGGGTCACTGGCTTCTAGATTTTGCTAAATGCAGCTTTCTAGGAGCTGGGAATTACCTTCCTGCATAACCCTTCCTAAATGAGAGTCACACATATTTTTCTGATATTTTATCAGAAAAGCACTTGTAAGGAAATGATCCGTCTTCTTCCATGGCCTTCCCAGTAACAAAAGAAGCTTGCTGAAAATTTATCCATTCTCTGCAGCTTAAAATGAACATATCCTACCACATTATTAATCAGACCCTCCATATCAAAGGCAGAAGGAAACCTGTCAACATTTTCCCAGGAGAATAGACAGCGCTACAGGCACCACCCGCACCCCAGTGTATATAGTAGTAGTAGTAGTATTACTACTACTACTACTACTACTACTAATATATTATTTATACCCTGCCCATCTGGCTGGGGTTCCCCAGCCACTCTGGGCGGCTCCCAACCGAATGTTAAAAACACAATACAGCATTAAACATTAAAAACTACCCTAAACAGGGCTGCCTTCAGATGTCTTCTAAAAGTCAGATAGTTGTTTATTTCCTTGACATCTGATGGGAGGGCGTTGCACAGGGTGGGTGCCACTACCGAGAAGGCCCTCTGCCTGGTTCCCTGTAACTTCACTTCTCGCAGTGAGGGAACCACCAGAAGGCCCTTGGCACTGGACCTCAATGTCCAGGCTGAACAATGGGGCTGGAGATGTTCCTTTGGGTATACTGGTAAAGGTAAAAGGTAAAGGGACCCCTGACCATTAGGTCCAGTCATGACCGACTCTGGGGTTGTGGCGCTCATCTTGCTTTATTGGCCGAGGGAGCCAGCATACAGCTTCCAGGTCATGTGGCTAGCATGACTAAGCAGCTTCTGGCGAACCGGAGCAGTGCACGGAAACGTCGTTTATCTTCCCGCCGGAGCGGTACCTATTTATCTACTTGCACTTTGATGTGCTTTTGAACTGCTAGGTTGGCAGGAGCAGGGACTGAGCAATGGGAGCTCACCCCATCAAGGGGATTCGAACCGCCGACCTTCTGATCGGCAAGTCCTAGGCTCTGTGGTTTAACCCACAGTGCCACATGCGTCCCTCGGGTATACAGGACCGAGGCCATTTAGGGCCTTAAAGTTCAGCACCAACACTTTGAATTGTGCTTGGAAACGTACTGGGAGCCAAAGCAGGTGTCTCAGGACCAGTGTTAAATGGTCTCGGCAGCCACTCCCAGTCACCAGTCTAGCTGCCACATTCTGGATTGATTGCAGTTTCCAAGTCAGCTTCAAAGGTAGCCCCACATAGAGTGCATTGCAGTAGTCCAAGCGGGATCTTCCATCATATTAATTCATAGTCATGGTTGTGAGTTTATGGTAAAAAAATAATAATATTCCCATCTATTGGAAAACATTCCATTTGTCTTTCTTTTCTTTTCTTTTTTTTTAAAAATGATATTTATTAAAGTTTCACAAAAAAAGAATCACATTAATAAAAAAGAAGAATTTCAGAATAAAAAGAAAAATACACAATACCAAATACAAAAAGAAAAAAAGAAAAAACAGTTAAAAACAATTCCATCTTTTCATTACTTCTTTCTTTTCTTTTCTTTTCTTTTCTTTTCTTTTCTTTCCCCCTGAAAAATTTACTGCTAGCACAGATTGTGGACAAAATAGCTGTAGGCTGTGAGCCATATGAGGTCACAAAAGCTCTTCCAACTCATCCCACTGGTATAGCACATGCTGACATATACAAATAAATAATTCATGTGGCCTTATTCACTGGAGTGTCACTATGGTTTTCTTCCTGCATCCATACCACAACCTGCATGAATGGTAGTAGCTGCATGAATGGCAGAGCTAACTGGAGAATTCTGCTCTTTTAGACTGTCTGAATTTCTCATCTTCTTATATGAAAACAATCTACTGTGAGGCAAAAGACCTTGGGCACCTCTTGCATGTTTTGTAGACCAGATGCACATCAACAGAGA